ACATGTTTCAGGACTTCAAGCTCAGGTAATTAGGCCCTTAGCAATCTCACCTGGGTCTGCCAATGAAACCAAAACATCCTGGGCTCCTCCACTGAAGAGAGGGTATGAGCAGCATTTTCCCATGGGGAACTCAGGACTTGGCACCAGAGAAAACTGAGTTGCCAGGGTCTACAGGAGCAGCCTCTATCACTTACACAGGTGTGCCCCTCTCTCTCCCCTGAGTTTATGCTCTTCCCTGATGTCCTTGGGGAGGGAGAGGCATGAGCAGTGGGAATGACCTTCTCGGCAGACCACGCCTAGACCAGACATCGGGTGGTAAGAGTCTTGGATTTGAAAACTCTTCACCAAACTATCTACAGCGCCTCTACAGAAGCCTAGGAGGGAAGGGGCAGCCTGTGAACCTATAATCATTGAATCAAAGGACCATAAAGTTTGGAAAGGACTTTAATGGAATCCAGGGGTGTGACGGGCTCCTCTGACAATTTGGTGCAGCTTCTGGGATCTCTTTCCAAAATCACATTTTTAAGTAGCTGAAGGAGATGTTAAATTTCAATTAGAGTTAATGAGTATAAAAACATAATTTGTTTTTGCCATCCAAGTTCACCGACCTCATGAATTCTATCAACAGGAGTCCACGAACCCCAAGTTAAGAACTCATCTAACCTAGATCCTTTAATTTATTAAAAAAAAAGAAAAGAAAACTGAGGCCCACAGAAAAATGGGAATTTTTAAGTTAAAAGCGAATTGCATAAAATCGCAGAGGCAGCATTTGAACCCAAGACCACAGCTAAGGTCATTTCCATTATATTGCACCATGCTGAAAGCAGCACTCCTTTTCAGATCCTCCTCACTGCATCCAAAGGGGTATTTCAGAAGGATCAATGTTTAATATAGCACTTGGGGGTAGGGGTAGGGGTAGGGGTGTGGTGAGGGCTTCATTTTATTCCCTAGTTGTTTCATGATATAGGTAGACAACTGTTACATTTCTGCTAATCCTTAAAAAGTCCCAGCATTCTTCTCACGGGCTTTGGTCCCCTTGGCTCTAATACAACACTTCAGATGGAAGAGCACCTCAACTAGTTACTTTGTTATAGTCATGGTGAGGGCGGGGAGATGGGATTGTCTTATCCAGGAAGTCAAAGGTAGAGTATTTTATCCAACTTTGTATCTTCGCCCCTCCCCCATCCGTGCCAAGTACATCTCTCAGCACTCAATACCGCCTGAAAGTGATTTTTTTTCAGTGAATGTCTAATTGTTTTTATAAGGTGTCTCATCTCAAACCCCCCCAAAGATTTTAATTAACTCCTCGAAAGAAGACTCACATCCTTCTTCCAGATACCAGCACAATACTAAACACATAGTAGGCACTCAACAGGTATATGAAGGGAATTTAACTGAAGATCCCCATGAACCAGTCTGCGCTAATGGGAGAAGGGGAATATCCCCCCACCCCCACCCCGCACCTTGTTTGACCCCATCCCTTTCCCTCTTCCTCAAAAACTCGGTACGTCTGGGGAGCAAACCTAGAATAGCCCGGCTACCCAGATATTTTCTGAAGAGGCCAAGGGCATTCTGCACGGAAGGAAGCAGCAGCTGGCTCTCGCCAGTCGGACTTTTTGTAGTTGTGTACTCCCGGAGTATGGGTCCTGGGACAGGAAAGTGGGAGCGTGGAGGGCGCTGGGGGGAGGGTCGGATTGCAGGCTTCTCCCATCCCGGCTCAGGGTGGCCGGAGCCCTCCCACTTCCTCCCTCCCTCCTCCGGGGGAGAGAGGGGGCATCCCTGCGAGCCGTCCGGTCCAGACCCAGCCCCTCGTGGGAGGCTCCGCTTCCGAAGTCACCGCGCCCCCAAGGACTGGTTAGGGTGCAAAGGGAGGGCGCAGCTGGCGGCTGCCATTCCTCCTCCTCCTCCTCTTCCTCCCTAACCGTGACCCCCCCACCCCCACCCCCACCCCCCCCCACCCCCGTCCTGGCCTTCCTCTCCACCCAGAGGCTAAGAGCCTGGGCTAACTCTTCCCGCCCTTCAGACCGCCTCCTTGGGTGACGCGACCGGCTATGCGGTTCCTTTAAAGGCTGCGGGTTCCGCTCTCTTCCCTTTTCCACTTGTAGCCAAAATATGCAAATTCAGAGACCGGAATTGGCAGCCAAATCGAGCCCGAGAAGGGGCGCGACCGCCGCGTCACCGGATCCTTTCCTTCTATGGAGCTTCCCCGTTTGGCCCGCCGCCCCGCGACCCTCCTTGCAGCCGCCCGGGCCTCCTCCCCCCGTCCCCACGCGCGCCGCGCAAACACACACACATTTACACACCTCGCACGCCCACGGCCAGGGGCTCAGCTGGGACAGCGCAGCCCCCGGGGGCGCAGGAGCTGCGGCGAGGCCCTTTTCGGGCCTGCTCCCTGGGCCGCTGCGCCCCGCTCCCTCGGGGTGGGAACGGGGGAGCCTCGGGAAATCTGCTTTTTTTAGAAGGGGTGCGAGAAGAGTGGGGTGGGGAGGAGGGGGAGGTGGGAATCCCTGCACCTTCCCAGGACAGTAGATGTCCTCGGAGAGGGAAAGGCTGGCTGTGCCAACCCTAGTCTGTCCCCAAAGCGGAGGAGGGAAGAGAGGAAGAGGCTGCTGGCATCCATCCGCCCTCTCAAAATGTGAGGCTTGGGAGTTCCTCCCACTCACTTGTCCCCGACTCCAGGCCCTGCGCAGAGGGGACCCGGGGATTCTCTCGTTTTCCCACCCCCACTGCCGGGAGAAATCCGTGCCCTTCTCCAAGCCTCCCCCCTGCGCCCTCGGGGGTTACGGGACTCTCCCAGCCCCCAGAACCGCTTAAGAGGGAATCCTCCCACGGAAAGAAACCGGGGTCGTTCATACGCCTACCTCACACCAAGTGGCCCCATAGCGTGTTGGGACAGCAGGCTCCCGGGGAGGTATCTGCAGTCCCCACGACCCGCCGTGACTGCAGCTAAGACCTCCGGAGATTTCTTTTGGCACCCAGACCCCCCACCCACTGCTGAGTGGCTTCGGAAGACCACACAAACAACAACCCTGATGAAGGCCCCGGGAAGCCAAAGCAATTCTCCCTTCTCCCCCAGTCCCCCAGATTAACTGGTTGCGGGTTGGGGGTGGGGGGCAAGGTGGAGGTGTCGAGGGAGTCCTGTTGCTTTCGGGAGGTGCCAAATTCAGAGGCATCCCTTGCCTACCTTGCAAGGTGCTTTCATCGGTTTTCTTTACCTAGAGGCAGTTGCTGGGTGGTGGGGGTGGGGGTCGGCGGAGAGGTTATCTATATCTTACTGACAATTTGATGCTCCGCCCCTCGACTCCAACCCGACTTCACCTTTCTACCCTCTTCGACCCTTGCACAGAACCAGCAGCCTCTCCGAGTCCTAGGCAAAGAGCGCATCTCCCCCCTTGTAACCCAATGCGCCTGGGAGTACATAAATTGGGGCTCAGGAGATGAGGGAACAGTGTTGAGATAATAGTTAATTAAGGAAGTTCCTAGAATTCTGGATGGAAGATACCTGTCGGGCTTTGTCGCTGCAAACGGACTCCCCGCCCCCCAAGTCACCTCTGTTACTTCTGGAGAGACTGAGGACACACCAAGTGGGCGGGGTCGGGGGAGGGGGAGAGTGCTACAGGGGCTCAGAAGCTTTTTCCCCTGGTCTTTAAAGAGAGATCAGCGCCTATTTACTGCGGGGTTTCTTCCTCGGTTGCAATTTTTTAAAGCTCTTCAGAGAAACTCTAACCCCCTACTGACCCCCAATCCCAATAAACCCACCCTCCCGTCACCGACCTGAAATAACACCAAGGTCTGGGAGCGCTTGCGCCGGAACACACGAGCACACACACGTGGCTCCAGCTTTTTCAAATATGAAGCGCCTTTACTTCTCCCCTCCTCTCTGCTTAACCTTCCCCTCCCCTTCTCTAATGGGGCCCATCCTACAACCCAACCCTGGCTCTCCAAAGAAAAGGTTTCGCACTTTGTCCCAGGATTTGGGCAACTTCAAAGACCGACTCTCTTCTTTCTCCCTTCCCCTTTCCACTTCTCTTCTCCCCTCCTCTTTTCTCTCCTCTTCTCTCTCCTTCCTCTTCTTCCCCCCCATCTCCCCTCCTGTTCCCCCCTTTTCTGTCTTCTCTTCCTTTCTCTCCTCTTCACCTCCCCCTTCCCCCTTTCCCTTCTACTCCGCTCCCCTGCACCCAATCAAATTCAACACACTTATTAAGCACCTACTATGTGCAAGGACACTACGTAGATACAATAATGAAAAATGGAAACATGGGCCTTGCTTTCCTCTCCCCTACAATTCTTTCTTCTCCCATTCCCCCCTCTCCCTTAGTCTATCTACTATTCTCTCTTTTCCCCTCCTTCTTCCTCCGCCTTCTCTTCCTCCCTTCTCTCCTTCTCTCCATTCTCTCTCTTTCTTTATTTCTTTCTTTTCTTTTTCCAGCTAACTGGAACCGCGAGCGATGAGAGCGCTGCAACACTGGCTGCAGCGGCTTCCTGCTTTCTAATGTTCCATTGTGAGGAGCTTCCATTGTGACGTCGAGCCCCTTCGGCAGGGCTTTGTCTGTCCATATATGGGCAGCTACGTCACGGAGCTTTCCCGGGGCTCGGATAAATAGGCTGGTGGAGTTCCCTGGCTGGGAGCATTTGGGCAGCAGTGAGCTTGCTAAGAAGCTGTGTGGCTGCTGGTGCTGGCGGCGGCGGCGGCGGTGGCGGTGGCGGTGGCGGTGGCGGCGCTGGTGGAGTGTGTGGGGGGGTCCCAGGAAAGCAGGCACGCGTGTGTGTGTGTGAGATCAGTAAAGGGGCAGCCTCCAACACCTGCAAGCCAGGGCCCCCCTTCCCGCCCCCCCACCCACGGCACACACCCCCCAACCCCACCCCACACAGCGCCTAGCCTCACACCACAGCGCCCAAGGGCGCACAGAGGGCTGCACCCCCTTTCCCCCCTCCCCCTTCTTCCACCCACACCCCAAAAAAAGGGCTCTCCTCCCTCAGCCCGCCCCCCTCCCCCTTTCCCTCCCCCCTCCCCCCCGAACTTTCCCTCTCGCATGCTTTTCCCCCGCACCACGGATCGCCTCTCGGATGCCGCTTCCCGGGGAGCTGTGCTAAGAGCGATCGGCGGCGGTGGCGGTGGCGGCGGCAGCTCGGGAGTGCTATGACCGGCAAACTCGCCGAGAAGCTGCCGGTGACCATGAGCAGTTTGCTAAACCAACTGCCTGACAATCTGTACCCCGAGGAGATCCCCAGCTCTCTCAACCTCTTCTCCGGCAGCAGCGACGCGGTGGCTCATTACAACCAGATGGCTACAGGTAAGGAGGAAGGAAGGAAGAAGGGGGAGAGGAGGAGAGGGAGGGATGGAGGGAGGGGGGCGCGCTGGGAATTTTCCGGGGGGCGAGTTGCTTTTCCCACCCACCCCTCCCGCCTCCCGGGCTGCGGGGAGGCTCCTTTGGAGACGCCGCGGTAAAGGCTCCGGTTATCCCGGGTGGGTGCAGCCGCTGATGGGAGGTAGGTGCTAGTGGCTCCACAGCTCTCTCCCCATGCAGGTGGCCCGATCTTCAGGCTCAACGCTAGGCGTGGCGATCTCCCCCTTCCTCTTTCTACGGGTGCATGTAGGGGGGTCTTGCCTTTTTCTGTATAAGATCGGCCCTTCCGCCCTCCCTCCGGGAATGGAGCCATGTGCGATGAGTCCCCGCGGTAGGGAGAGGCACTGCGACGCTGCCTTTCCAGGGCATTTACCGGAGAGAAACTGGGTGTGGGTACGGCCGGGGTGGGGGTTGGGGGTGGCGGGGTTAGGGACCGACCGATCGGGTGCATGGGGACCCTGAAGGGGACAAGGGAGGTAGAGGAGGGATGACTGCTCCCGAAGGGGAAATGCTGGCCAAGTTGCCCTCATCCTTTCTCCCCAGCTCGTTCTCGTTTCCCACCCCACCCCCTCCACTGAGAGCCCGGAGCCTCTCCAGGCCCCAAGGAGGAGTGGGGGCGGGGGAGAAGGAACAGTAAGGGGAGCTAGCTCTCGGCACTCAGTGTCCCTCTATACCCACGGTGTCCCCCTTTTTGCTTTAGGGACAAAGCATCCAATAGTACTGGGGGTTGCTGCTTGCCTCTTTCCCACCGATCCTAGGGCATAAGGGAGGGGTCTCGCAGGGGTAAGGATTTGAGAGAATCGGCTGAGTTTGTCGGGGTTGAAGGAGAGAGACCACTGCGCTCCGCTTCTGAATCTACCTGTAGCTACAGCTAGCTACCTGCCTGCCCCTCCTCGGGGGGAAACAATAAACCTGCATGTGTGTGCGCGTTATGCGCGACTGTGTGCGCGAGTGTGTTATACGCGTGTATGTGTGTGTGTTGCATATACTCCACACCCCGAGCCATAGTACGTATTTTGCTGTATCCCAGGTTGCGCCCGGTAGATCGGCACCGCCCGGTTCGCGCCAGGGCGCGCGTTGCTTCTTGCCCCATTAGCTCGCTCGCTCTCCTTGGCACCCCACCCTCTCTCGGCACCTGGGCACGGGTCTGGGCCCCTGGGCCCGCTTTGCGCGGCGCTGGCGCTCGGGTTCACTCACCCCTCCCCTCTCTCCCTCCCCCCTCTCCACAGAGAATGTGATGGACATCGGTCTGGCGAACGAGAAGCCCAACCAGGAACTCTCTTACTCCGGCTCCTTCCAGCCCGCTCCGGGCAACAAGACGGTGACCTACTTGGGGAAGTTCGCCTTCGACTCCCCTTCCAACTGGTGTCAGGACAACATCATCAGCCTCATGAGCGCCGGCATCCTAGGGGTGCCCCCGGCCACCGGGGCGCTCAGTACACAGACCTCTACCGCCAGCATGGTGCAGCCGCAGGGCGAGGTGGAACCCATGTACCCGGCGTTGCCCCCCTTACTCCAACTGCAGCGACCTCTATTCTGAGCCCGTGTCTTTCCATGACCCTCAGGGCAACCCCGGGCTCGCCTATTCCCCCCAGGATTACCAGTCCGCCAAGCCCGGTTTGGACAGTAACCTTTTCCCCATGATCCCCGACTACAACCTGTACCACCACCCCAACGAGATGGGATCCGTCACGGAGCACAAGCCCTTCCAGAGCATGGATCCCATCCGGGTCAACCCGCCCCCCATCACCCCCCTGGAGACCATCAAGGCTTTCAAGGACAAACAGATTCACCCCGGCTTCGGCAGCTTGCCCCAACCGCCGCTCACTCTCAAGCCCATCCGGCCCCGCAAGTACCCCAACCGACCCAGCAAGACCCCGCTCCACGAACGACCCCACGCGTGTCCGGCCGAGGGTTGCGACCGCCGCTTCAGCCGCTCAGACGAGCTGACCCGGCACCTGCGTATCCACACTGGCCACAAGCCCTTCCAGTGTAGGATCTGCATGCGCAGTTTCAGCCGCAGCGACCACCTCACCACCCACATCCGCACTCACACGGGCGAGAAGCCCTTTGCCTGCGAGTTCTGCGGGCGCAAGTTCGCGCGCAGCGACGAGCGCAAGCGCCACGCCAAAATCCACCTCAAACAGAAGGAGAAGAAGGCAGAGAAGGGGGGAGCGGCCTCCGCCTCCTCGGCGCCCCCTGTATCTCTGGCTCCCGTCGTCACCCACCTGCGCCTGAGGACCTGGCTCCGGCTCCAGACCCCACTTTTCCCCTCCAGTGCCTCCCAGTTGCTGCCTTGAAAGTAATGGGGCACCCCGCCGCGGAGGAGCAGGGGCCGCGCCCTGGCCTCTCCCTGGACGCACGGCCCCCAACTCCCCTATGATGCTTCCTACCCACCCCCTCGGCACTAGCCTAGGAGTCGGGGTCCAGATGGGGGAACCCTCCCCCTCGCCGCCGCCCTTCACTGGGTAGGGGGGTGTGGAAAGGTGGCGTCTAGCCCGCTTTGTTCAACTCGGATCGCCTTGATCCACAGGGGGCAGGTGGGACTCACCAGGGACCTTACGAAGACTTGTGGGTGGGGTGAGGAGCTTAGTCCGACCCTTGCACACCCCACCGCCCTCCGTCTCCACCTCCCCCGCCCCCCATCTTGGAGACGGGGGTGGGAGGGGGGGAGATGAGGAGCGCACCAAAGCGCAGTGCTTGCTGCCCGCCGTGTGCGCGCCTGCGTGCGTGTGTGTGTGTGTGTGTGTGTGTGTGTGTGTGTGAGATGTATGTATGTTTGTGACTGAGCTCTCAACTGGGCTGTTTTACCATCCTCCCCTCAAAAAAAAAACTCCCCTTCCCACACCCAGTCCCCAGGCTTTTTGGAGGAGAGCCAGGGCAGATAGCTGGCATTGGGGGTCGGCCCGCGGGGCGGGACGAGGTGGGCTTTATTTCGTCTGATGAGAAATCTTTCTTAGCGAAATGCCTCGGATGCCGCCGCCTTGGGGTCTCCTTTGGTCCCTGGGTCTTTAACCTCTTCCCTCCATGGCCCTCAGGGCGCTTACTCTCACCTGCCTGGAGAAGGGGGCAGCCATAACTGAGCCTGCTTTTTTTCTTTATTTCCTCTTTTCATTCTTTCCATATATTTTTCTCTCCTCCTTTTCCTTTCTTTTTTTTTAAACTGACTTTTCATCCTGTTCTGCTTTTCTTCCTTTTCTTCCTCACCCCTCTCACCATTTTCCCATCCCACCCCCACTTTCCACTTCTCTCAAACCACCCTTTTCCAGAAAGAGCAAGGCCCACCCAACTTCCAACTTTAGCTGGCCTAGCAACCCCCTTCTCTCTGCCCCGAGTGCGGTTGTATTTTTGTTTCTCACATACAGTGAAAAGTCACATATTCCACCTCTCCTCACAGAAGAGAGAGATGGCCCCTTTTTTTTTGTCCTAGTCATCACACATACAAAAAAAAAAAGGTACAACAAATTGAACTTAAATATATGTGTGTATGTGTGAAAACACACACAGAGTATTCCCTTAGCCGGATAATATCTCTACGGTACTTGGTTATCTGGTGCAGTGCACGTGGATAATCTTTAAATATACAGCTTTAAATGTTTTATTTTTGGAAGAAATGCTAACTGTGGAGGAGATTATATATACATATATATGATATATATACATAACTAGTATGTATATGTGTGTGTTTATATCCAAACTTTCCTCAAAGGAAGATGGGGATTTTTGCATTGACCTCTATTACTGGATGATCTTCCCATACCCAAACCTTAACCTCTCTATTCTCTCCCCTCCCACAACTCTCTCTTCTTGCCCTAACTTGACCCCCGAACCTAACCCCAAAGCAGCTCTGAATGTGTTATGGTGGCTCATTTGAAGTGGAAATAGAGGGGAAGTTCTCTCCCCAGCAGCTTTCAGCACAGGTCTGATTGAATGTACCTATTAGATTTATTTCTCCTGTGGTTAGGAAGCTGCTGAGAGAGGGTGTATAGGTCTGGAGTTTACAGCGTGGGTCTGCTTTTAAAGTCACTTTATGCATTTCCCACCTCTCTTTTTTCTTTAAGAAGAAAAAAAGCACCTTTTCGGTGGTGGATAAAATAATACTAAAGGACTTGAGACAGAAGGAAATGGAAAGGCAAAGGGCTGTGAAATTTCAGGGGAGTTTTTACCTTTTCCTAATTTCTAAGAGGAGAGAAAAGGTCTGGGAAAGGCCCACATTTTTTTCAGCTGAAGGGTAAAATCTTTCTTTGCAGAGACAGTATTTTGCTGAATACTTTTTATAATGTGATAATTATTAAAAACAAAAACAAAACCAAAATTTTTGGTCACTTCAAAGCTAGAAGGAGGAATCAGATATCCCTTAATATTTTTTTTTCTTGCTCCTTCTGGTATATGCATGTCACTGCATGACAGCTCTGAGTTTTCTTTTGTTTTAATAAAACTGTGCTCAGACATTTAAGCTAAACTAAGAGAAAAAAAAACTTTGTTGCCAAAAGGTTGTGCTATCCAGGTTTTTATGTCTGCATGTAAAAACAAAACAACTAGAAAATGCACTCTTAACTTATGTGAACTGAGAGGAACAAAACAAAATCAGGTTTTAAACAGGAAAACCTAAGGGGAATGATATTTTTTGAAAGACTTTTGTATAAAGTTGAGTACTTAGAAAAAAGACAAACCAGATGTAATATATTTTGTGGATGTTTTTATTTCTTGGATTTATAGTACCTTATACTAAGGTAACCAAAAGTATGCTTGATATTGTGAAAAGGTGAAATTCTTCACCAGCATTTCATTTGCTCCTTTGTCACATTGTAATGCCAATATGATATAGTTAATGCAAACAGCATTTTTAAAAGCCGAAATATTGAAATGGTGTAATGTCGTACCATTTGCACTGTGAGCAAATGCTAAAACAGTAAATATATTGTGTTTGCTGACAATCAACCAGGCTGTAAATTTCATTTCGTGTTGGGGTCTTTTAATTCTGTATAGAGCATGTTTATTTTTGTTTCTTACCTTGGTTTGTTTGGTTTGGTTTGGTCTGGTTTCTGGTCTTACTTCCCATGCTCAGACAACCTTCATAGAGAAAACGTGAAATGGGAAGAGGATGGATTTTATCTGGGTTCTGGTGCCATTTGGAATCCGGGTTTAGAGGGTTTTGGTGGTTGTTGGTTTGGGGTTCGATTAGTTTTTGTTGTTGGTTGGTTTTTGGTTGTTAGTTGGTTTGGTTTGGGTGCTGCTCTGCCGGGATACCTCGATCTGTCCTTCCCAGAGGTGAGAACCACAAAGAAGTACTCATGGATGCATTCATGGGAAACCCTCTGGGTTTCTACAATCAGTAACCTTGGAGAAAACCCCTCTTGGTGTATGGAATCTTGCTAAAATGACCAGGGGGGAATGGAGAAAAGAGAATAGGACCTCGAAGGTTCTCTGCAGCCATGTTCAGACTCTCTTGCTTGAAGCTTTGTGAAAACAGAAAATGGGAGGATTGCTTTGCCTACAGCTTGACTGAAGACTTGGGAGGGAGAGCTTGGTGCCCAGGGCTGTCAAGTGTGCTGCTGGGTCATTTGGAAACTGCCTTAGCAGCTACAAAAGGTGAGGGTGGGTAGGGATGGGAAGAGGAGAGCTAAATGCAGCTGCCCTAATCCTACTGGGACAGAACTTCTGGAGCTTTGTTTCAGTCTTATTTGGAGCTGACTGCCTGGTCTGAAGGTGGCTTTGGCTTTTGGAAATTTTTCATATGGACTAACCAAGGAAGTAGGGCACAGAAGGTGCTCTTTTTTTATATGTGGCCTTTGTTTTCTGCTGAAATACAAGCCCGACATCTGCTTTTTTTCCCATGGGAAATAAGAATTGGAGGGGGGGGAAGAGAAGGGGGAAAGAGCCAAAGGTTTGTCTTCAGGTCTGTCTTTGCATATTGGTTCCCTTCCGTTCATACCTTTCATCTTTCACAGCACACGTACTTCTCTCACCTTAAGAAGTTTCCTATCAGGCACTCCCCCCCCCCCATCTCCTTCTTAATCAGTGCATTTGCTAGGTTAGATGATTTTCCCTTATCTCCAGCTGAGCCAGCACAGAAATATGTTCCCCATACCCACTCACCCAACTCCTTTCCTCACGTTAGCTATCTTCATATTTCCCATTCTTCTCATTATCACTTTTTGCACCTATGGGAGCATGAGGCTTATTGCTGGAGAATCATACTAGGGTTCTAGATGGTAACCAGTCCTCTCTTCCTCCTGTAGCTGTTGGAAAAACTCCTCTGAGCTTCTTTGTTAAAAGTTTTCCATAGCTTCAGCCTCACCAAGGACCAAATAGCAGACAAGACTGGCAGGGAAGAATGGTGGGCAAATGGGTATCTTTGCCACCAAGACAAAAACTATATCAAATAATTGTCGGGGGAAATGTTTGATAGCTTCTCTTTAAAGGGACAGTTCTTCTCACCGTCTCCCTTCCCCCCTACTTCCCCACTCAATGAGGAGGTGGTGGGTGGTATTTTTTTATTGGCAAGTCACCAAGAAGCTTAGTCCAGGCCTGGGTGGAGCAGGTGCATTAGGGCCTTGGAGCAGAATGACTTTCAAGTGAGAGACACACAAGGAGAATGCAGTATGGAATCTTGTAAAGTTTCCCACCCACACAATTCTAGGCCAGTGTTGGCTACCATCTTGAATTTCCTCCCTCACCTTAGGAAACTCTTAACAATCTGAACTGTAGTTTTCCATAATGACAAGTGAGGAAAGGAGCTAGCTTTTTACTGATATTATCCATGGCAAGGAGGGCCTATAAGCAACCACATAAACTCCTCTAATACGATACCTCCAAGGCTTGCTTTCAGCCCTATTGTCACTTTTCCCACAGTCTAGATTCCTGTTTACCAATGGACTTTATTAAGACCTCTTCCTTTTTAAGTATTGGTTTCAACGCTATTACATGTGATTGATTGCCTTTAGCATTCTGTCTTAGTGGGCATCTTTTCCAGTCAAATTAAGCCTTCAGGTTTGTACTTTTATTCAAGAGTATACTATCTAATGTATGTTCTATAGCTTCTCATTAGTATTATTACTCAAGATGATTTGACCAATGGGTTACTTGGCAATATAGCACCTTGCCTGACTGGCACCAGCCCTGTGTGGTGTAATCACTGATTCACATTTTGTAAACAGATAAAGTTGCCCCAGATGTGATCACACCTGCATCCCAACCTGCCAGGTTTGGGGGGTAGAAATGAGATAGGAGTGAAGGTTCAACTCTGAAACTTGGGACTTGAGTAAGTAGGATGGAGGTTTGGCCTAAATGAGGACACTCATTGAGAAAGTAATTATGAGCACTGAGATTTTTTTTCTTGCTCATGATTGGCTTTCCTCTCCTTATTTTAAAATAACAATTTGAACACTGGTCCTGAAGTCAGGAGGACCTGAGTTCAAATCCGGCCCCAGACATATAATGCTTACGAGCTGTGTGACTCTGGGCAAGTCACTTAACCCCAATTGCCTCACTCAAAAAAAAAAACCCAACAATTTGAATTTCAAGTAGGAGGTTTCTGTGTGTCTTATAGATTAGAAACTATATTGCAGGTACCTTAAAGACTAGAAGGAAATGGCTCTCTAAAAGGGAACATGAGGTTTAAAAAGGCGTTTGTAATCTCTTATACAAGGGGTCCTCATTTGGAAATTCATCACTGGGGATTGAGGAGAGAGAAATGGAGTCAGTGAAGAAAGGAGGAAGAGGCCTTTCCAAAGCCCTTGAGCTAATGCCAGAAGCATGTGGGTCGATTGGTCACTGGAGACAGTTCACAGATACCTCTGAGCAGCTTCAATGAAAAGCCATTAATTTCCACCAACCAGCCCTCATTGTGGAGCAAGAGCTTGTAAGACTTAGTGCCAACTTCAACAAAATCAGGTCTTCTTTGTGAAGATCACTCTTTTCGATAACAAGACATAGAAAGCTAATGGGGCGGGGAGAAGGACGGGAAGCAGAAGGCATCTAAAGTCTGAGCTGAGGAGAGAAGAGAAAGGAAAAAATAACTGGAAGGTATATTTCTGCACAAAACATTCTAACAGACAAAGGGTAAGGGCAGCTTCTGTTTGCATTGGGGTTCTAGCAGGAATCTGATAATTGGAGATCTCATGAAAATAAGCAACAGTCAAGTCTCAGATGGACACTC